ATCCGAAAACGATTATTAAAATCCTCTGGTGTATAAACACACGGAGTATTGAAGTAGTCATTGAGAAGCTAAGTGAAGTGTGGGCAGTCGCTCAATCCCGGTCTAAACGTTGTCGTCGAGTCTGGCGTCAGGGGGATTCAACTTCTTCTCTTTCGCCTTCTTGCCACCATTGGTAACAACTCGTGGCGAAACAACGAAAAATAATAGCTCTTTTTATCATCGGATGAAGATGATCCCATTTTTAAAATATATTTTATAAATATTTATAATAAATAGTCAAATATTTGAAAGAATACTTGATAGAATTGAGAGAAGATAGTGAGAGATGTGTGAGAGATAGGTTTGTTTTGATGTAATTTATAGTTTTTTTTTATTTAATTTTTTTATTAACGGCTAATTTAGCTTTTTTTGGCCGTTGGGACAGGGGAAGGGAGAAATACGTTAAACGTTTGACGCGTTGGGGCGGACGCCCCATAACGCGGCCAGAGGGGCGGTGTTTAACGCCCAAAGGTTGTCAAAAGGCAATTAACGGAGGCAGTATAAAAGAGTTAAGAGAGTTGTTTATGTAGTTCAAACATATCCTCTTCCTCTGCGAAGTCCACCTACCTCTATAACAATTATTTATCCAACTTTCGTAACAAATTACACAGACACATGGCAATATGATAGAATGTCTCTTCTAAAATAATGACAAAATCTCATCACGTAAAGGTTTCAAACACAAATCCTTTTTGTGCTATCTTCATAGTTTGTTGCACTTTAAATATTGAATTTTGAATAAAAGTTTTATTAACAAAATCCGAAGATAAATGAACCTAAAATAGACCCACTAAAAACAGGTCAAACTTGTCAAGAGTCAAACCTGATCTGACCGACGTGCTAACGTAATTTTTTTTTGGAAATCATACATTTTAATATGAAAAATAATGTGATAAAGATAAGGTTATAGTTTTATTTCTTTCTTATTGTTTATTTTTAGCAAGTAAGCTTATATTTTGAAATGAATTATTAATGATATCACATAGTTATATTACATATTTTTTTCAAAGCCGGTAAATTCAAGTGTTGTAATATTCACAATTCTGTTAATTATACATAAAAAGTGAGTAGTTAACAGTTAAAAATAAAATATTCTAATATCTTTAGTCAAGGCCAGCCCCGAAAAAAGAAAAAATAAAATTTGCCCGGTCTTTGATAAAATTAACAAAATCCAAAGATAAATGAACCTAAAATAGACCCACTCAAAATACAAGTTTTAGGGGGTGTATTCAATCAGGATTCTGAAGGAATTTTTTGGATTCTGAAAATCTGTAGGTATTCAATTCAGATTTTAAAAAGTCATTTAAAATCTAGGTGTTATCAATTCAGATTTTAAAGAGTCTTTTAAAATCTGAATGTATTCAATTCAGATTTTAAAATATCTTTCTAAATTTAATGGTATTCAAAAATTAATAGACTTTAGAAGATTTTTATAAATTATGAATTTTGATGGATTTTGGGGTATTAGATTTAAATTAAAATCCAAGTTCAAATCTCACAAAAAATGTAGAGATTTTACTGACTCCACAACTGGCCTTTCGTGGCCTTTCATCTACTTCGTCCTCTCCTTCCGGCTTTGTTCACGGATTCTTCTTCTTCTTCTTCTATGGACTTTTGGACAAAGCAATAACTTAGATCTGGATTGCAGAGGGAGGGGTGTTTCGCCGATTGACCGTGACAGACCAGGCGCCGGTTGACCGTGACGGACCAGGCGCCGGTTGCTGTGTGTCTGCGACTATCTTTGGATGTTGACGGTGGTGCCAGGGAGGAGAGATGCGGCGCCGAATTGGCTGTGTGTCTGTTGCCCGATGCGGCTCCGGTTGTTACTGCCTTAGCCGGTTCTCAGAGGTTGACATGGAGTGATGATTGAGTGCTGGTCTGGAAGTACTGTTGGCCGCCGAGTGGGAATAGTAACTGACCTAAGGGATGACCTAAGGGAGTGTAGAATGGAGATCAAAATTTCCAAAGAAATCCATGGAACCTATAAAATCAATAAAAAAGTATGAGAAACTCTACATAGAATCTATGGAATTTCTAAATTCACTAACTTTCTAGAGTCTGAAAAAATCCAATACAATCTCAATTGAATACACCCCTTACTCCCTTAGTATGAATTTAAATATTTTAAAAATAAAGCTCATAACCCATTTGGTCAATTCAAATTTGATGCAATAATTCTCAATCTGAATCCGAATACATCCAACCCAATCTAATCAGAACCTAAAATTATCGATCCCAAACCGAATTTGACCGATCACTTTGTCAACTCTACTCACAACCCTAATCCAAATCGATCAACCGTGTACTCAACTTCCGGTTAGATATCGATCAAGAAAATGCATGTCACGGGCTGTGTTTTGCTCTTCTATTAACACGATTGTTCCTGTAGTTTTAACCAATTGGAATAGGATACGCATAAACACCTAGTTTATTGCATAGCTTGGAGAACACACTAGAACTCTTGTTCTAGTTAAATATCTCCTCTTTAATATAACAAAAACTCTAGCGCATATATACTTCATTAAATATGAACTTCTATTGATACGAGAATTCATAGGAAAGCTCAACCAAATTCACGAATCCTTGGAGACAAAAGCGTTGGTTCTTTGTGCGTTATTAGATTGAGAAAAAAATTTAAACAAATACTCCGTACTACATTGTAATAGAGTCAATGACACTCATAAAATATTCCATCTGTCCACCATAGATCTTCCAGACACTAGGTCAAACTTTACTCATTTTTTTTGCTCATTTTTACTAGTCATTTTGTAAAATTATATAATCTTGTCACCTCTAGTTTTGTAGAACTTTTCATGTAGTTTATTACTATATAAATTTTATTTTAAAATTTTACTCCTATAATCAATTAAAATGAATTGATAAAATAAAGTCGGTCAAGCCTCGTACATTGAGAAATAAAAATATATGGTCATATATTAAGAAAGTCATTATGTTTTAGTCTTATTTATGTAAATTACCCGTATAACAACTAAGAGGAGCATTACAAAAAATTAAAAATCTCTTCCTTTGGTTCTTATAGGGGGCTGATTGGTTGAAAGTTGGCACCACGGAGATGTTTTGACCTTGAGGTCATGGGTTCAAATCCTATCACGTGCTGGGAGACTTTTGACATTAAGCAAACCCGATCGATTAGAATTAGTCAGATTTTGCGAAAGACAAGTTTGAAACATATGTGGTCTAACCAAAAAATAAATGTCTTTGGTCAATTTCAATATATAACAAAAATTTTATTATTCACTACTAGAATGATTTGATCACTCTCCCTCCTATTAGGATAGAATTTTCCTACACGTGAAAAATTAGATTTTATTGTCGCTAACATTACGCAGTTTAGTGGGTCCACAATAATAGCCGAGTTTTCTTGGTCGTCAAGTGTAATGTAACACATGGTTTCAACAACAAAAAACCTAAAAATAAAAATAAAATCTCATTCCGTATCAAATTTGACGAATAGACCCACACATAAAAATCTCATTGGTCATTCTATAAAAACTTTCCCACCGACACATACAATCAACTTGGCATAATAATATGAGTCTTCTCGAATCCCCTCTCTAAGCATTCGTGCGTCACTTTGCCTCTTCAAATTGTTGACAAAAGTCATATATGATGGGCCGCTTCAAATCTATTTCAATTATTAAAGCATATTGTATTTAATGTAAGTAATACTTATGAAGAACCATAGCATTAGTTGGGCCGTGGCCTTGTAACGTTTGTATATATTCCATAATTTTCAGAAACGGATCGGTGACCGAACCGGTCAAGGTACTACTGGTTCATGGGTTCATTGGTCGAATCAGTGGTTCAACTCGTCGAATCCGTGGTTTAAACATATTTAATATATATATAGGGACAAAAGGCTCAAAGGGTTGTTGCTTACTATAGTCAATTTATCACACCCTCTAGAATTAGCTTTATGGGTCTATTGATCCTACCCAAGGATGCACTTGTGCTGCTACAGGTGATACCGTTGCTCATTTAGGGTGTGAAAAGACAATAAATTTTTCGATGGGTCTTGTTGAAGCTACAAGAATATGATGTAATTGCAACGGCGCGTTTCGTTGCTTTTTTTCAATAATTCCGTTGCTAATGCTTATTGCAACGGCTTTTCCGTTGCCGTTCAACCGTTGCAAAGACCTTTATTGCAAACGCACTCCTGCAACGGAATCTTTGTTGCAGAGCATTAACTCAGACTGTTGCAACGAACATTCTGTTGCCACATTTTGCAATGGTAACCGTTGCAACATATTGCATCCAAAGTTTGCAACTATATTTTCCGTTGCAAACAAATTGCTACGGAAAAAGTGCAACAGCAACTCCATTGCTAATGTTTGCTACGAAAAAAATTTATTCGCAACAGAAGTTGGTGACATATCAACTGCAACAGAATGCTCCACTACAAAATTAGAAAATGCACAACGTAGTGCTTGTTCAATTTCATACCAACTCAGAAGTCATTTCCATGCACAAGTTATATATAGTGGATACTCAAACACACATGTATTCAACAAAACCAAAATTTCAATACTATTCATAAAATAAAATAAATTTCATGTACTTGTCAAACATATGAATAATAATATCTGATCTATTTTTGCACATTAAAATAATTAAATCATTAACTAACATAAAGGTGGCCTTCCGTATCTGTCGTGTCCGTCTTCTCTACGGGGTAAAAAGTCTCCAAACAATTTATACATCTCTTCTAGGATTGTTTGAGCAATGAGTTCCCAGAGCATCTGGACAATATCCTCCTTGAGGGTTTGCATCACAGAGGGTTGAGAGGCAACATATGATTCGGCAGCGGAACAGCCGGAACTAAGATGGTGTTTGAAAGATCTTTCATGAGGCATAGTCCTTGACATCTTGCCTACTCCAAAGACATGATTTTTAGAATCATGTCCATCAGCCGAGTAGTAGTATAACTCATCCTCGGAGGCTTAAAAATTATCCTTTTATGTGATCTGCTCCATTGCAACGCATGTTACGTTGCCTTCACATAATATTACAATGTTAGCATAACAAACATATGTATTATGATGTATGTGCACAAATGACATACTCTCTCCGTCTCATAAAGTGTTACCCATTTTGACTAAAGTTGAAATTAAGGGAGGGATAATTTTGTGTTGACTTTCCAAAAATACCCTTGATGTAATGGGTAAAAGTAGGATGCGATGTGTAGATTATTAGGAAAAAGGTATGATGTAATAGGTAGGGTTTGAAAAAGTAGGGGATAAAAGTGGTTTTTTAATAGAAATGGGTAGGAGATCGATTGTGGGACGTAATTTTTTTGAAAGGTGTAAATCTTTTTGGGACGGAGGGAGTATATATTATCATGTCACTCCTTGCCTCCTCGGTTGTTGATTTGGTCTATTTGGTTTTAAACTAGGAGCAAGCAATGTTTTTTGCTACGGAAGTATGTAGATTACAACTGGTTATTAGATTTTATGTTTACTTTATATATACTAGATTCGTACCCGTGCAATGCACGATAAGAATTTTATCAATAATTTATTTACTAATATTTGAAAATAATCAATAAGTACATTATTTCATAAATATATTTCTTAGTTTGTACCAAAAAAATATTTCTTGGTAAGAAAAAACTGGTGTGCTATTGGTGGTCTACAAATACAAATCACTAAAGAAAATAATTGCAAAAATTAAAGGAGAACCACCCTGACAGTCCCAAGTACTTAGCCCTGGGAATGGAGACTCATTTTTTTATTATCACAAAAGATATACTTCGTAATTTTTAAAGAAAACAAAACTATAAAGATTGGGTCTTTAAAGTATCAAAGATATTTTTTTAGTTAAAAGCTAAGAAGGAAACTAATTTCATTTCTCATCAAAGCAAAATCCAAGAAGGGCTAAGAACTGGATTACCGGCATCAATATCACAATATGTTACTTAAGATTCAAAATTTTAGTTATCGAAGAATGTTGAAGATATTAGATTTAACTTTTTATAAAACCAAGATTTGAACATGGTCAAAGAAAATATATTTAATGTTCAAAGAGTATTTTTATTGAAGCTTCCTGGCATTCAAAAAAAGTCTAAAAAAAATTACATTTCCAGCCTAAAGTATAATTTGGCACTCAACTCATGTTTTAGAAGATTAGTTAAGATGAAGGAGTGAGAAGGAATTTGGCTTCTAGTGTTAGAGTACTTGGCCGGATCTGCACAGTAAATCTAAATCTATGCAGATTGAGATCAGAAATACCAGACAGAATGCTTGAAGCTGTAAATATTAATAAAGATGAAGTAATTGAAGTCGCGTAAAGTAAGATTTGCAAATAAATACTTTGTATTATCTAACTGAAACTCACTTTAGGTAGAAAGTATTCTTCGTTGAGATCTTTGGCTTCTTCATCATAGCATGCCTCTTCCATTTTTCAAAAAAACAAAATCTTGGGCTCTTGGCCATCGCAGCTTCACATTTTCATAGTCTTTTACCATTATTGAACATCCTGAAAAATAGTATTAAGAGCATGTTCTTTAGACTTACACTCTTAACTTTTAGTTTCTTCCCGTTCCTTTCAGTTTTTCAAGTTCTTCCCATTCCTTCGAGTTTATTCCAACTATTCTCCTTTTCTTCAAACACTTTCTACTCCCCAACCAATTACTCTAAAAATGATAAATTTTTAATGTGATTATTATTATTATTATTACAATGAAAATAAAATGACAATCATGAAAGAAAATATTGATTGGATTACATTATGTGACATGTCTGATATTTAAAACAAAATGTTGTAATATATAAAGTATAATGACAAATATATTATTTATAATAAATACTGCATAAATAAATTGAGGTGCAATGTAATTTAAAAAACTTTTTAAAATTTAACATTTTGATATTTATGCTAACTTTATGTTATAATTTTTTTTTGCAAAAGTAATTTTTTTGTGTATGGGGATAAACAATATTTTTTTGTGTTAAATGCAGTCATTAAGATAACGTGATGATGATGATGATGACGACGATAATAATAATAATAATAATAATAATAATAATAATAATAATAATAATAATAATAATAATAATAATAATAATAATAAGAATAAGAATAAGAATAAGAATATGAATAAGAAAAATAATAATAATAATAATAATAATAATAACAACAACAACAACAACAATAATAATAACAACAAGAATTAGAATCAGAATAATATAAAAGTACAGAAAATAAATTTTTTAAAGTTTTTTAGGTTTTCCAATTTTTTGAAGGTTTTCCAATTTCTTCTAGTCTTTCAAATTTTTTCTAGTTTTTTCCAGTTTCTTCAAACATCCATCTCTTTTTTTTCATTCTTTATGAACAGGCTCTAAGGCTGTTAGTAGCTTATTAGTTGCATCTCTCCATAAAGAAAGAACACATAAAAACATTCAAAAGATAATCTTAAAGATTCAAGCGGATTAAAAGAATATTGTAATGTAAAGCAAATTCAACTTGTCTTTCAATCTCTTTAATAAGTGTTCAAAATCACTCGATTAATTTGTAAATATCAAAGAATTCATGGCCTTCAGGTATAAATTCACTCCCATTTTCACGTATAGGAAACCTCAGAATATTGCAACCTATATCAAAGTAGCCATATAAGCATATAACATACGTAATGAGAGTCTACATAGTAGAATGTGTCAACCAACCATCTAACTATATGAAGAATAATGAATTCATGGCATAGTTGGGATGAAAAAATGAAAATGTTCTTCACCCATGCATCTTCTCTGTTGATGTCCTAAGATCGAGTTACCGAATCGTCTAATGCTATGCGGAATCACCAAAGATGTCCTCAACCTTAAGAGCCAATCGCTGCCATCGATAGGGCTTGCTGCCGTCTTGCTCTTCATCTATTGTGGTCTCGAGTGCATAGGGCTTACTTCCGCACTTGTGTGATAGAAGATAAACCTAAAAAAACAACAAAAAACATATCCTAATAATCATCAACACATCAGTTGCTAAACTTTGAACTTTTAGTATCTAAAGATTATTTCCAAAAGTGACATTATTGAGAAACCTAAAACGCAACAAAAAATAAAGACAGAATGTAATTAAAAAAAATACATTAAGCAAGCAAACCTGTTTTTTTTTTTGCTGGATTCTGTTTTTATGGAGTTGTGGGAGAGCAAGCACCTCTCTGATTTTGCCTCCATAGCTTGTGTAGGTAGCTGACAATCGGAATTACAAATTAGGAGGTTATGGTGTGAAACCATGACAAATTATCAATACTTTTTATTTTAAATTTGAAGGGAAGAATAGAGAAGTGAAATTACTAACCTTCTCATCCCCATAGATAAACATGAGTTTATGAATCATTGGGTGGAGTACTTGGATCGAGTCAATCTTGAGATGCGGTGGTCTGAGCAACATTTATTTATCTGTTGGAGTTTAAAAAGAGAAAAAAGTGTTAAGTGCTTTCCCAAAAATATCAACTGAATTTAATTTGCCAATTAAAGCTATTTTGTATTATAAGTATAGTAAAATAAATTTGATCAGTTATTATAACAATAAAGATATCATTAGAACTACACCTAACATATCTTTAATGAAACAACAAAGATGAAGAACTTAGGGATCAAAGCAAATTTTACCAACCTCAACAAATAAAAATAGAGAATTAGAGATAATAAGTTGTTGAGATGAATCCAATGCAAGAAGATGAGAGAAACCAAGAATAACATACAAAAACTTTGTTTTTGAAGAACCCACGGTAATCAAATTCATTATAGAAGTGAAGAATTGAAATTCAGAATACTGAAATAATCTATTAATAATTTAATTAGAATTAAAGAGTGAAAATACGATCTTGATAGCACAAAAAACGTGTCGTGAGATAGAGGAAATAACATCAGCACCCTCAAGGAAGTTCATCGGAGAAGTTTTTCAAACACTTGGCGTGACTCCTCCATTTTTCAAATAAGACCTTTTCTTTCATCTCACTTCAGACCACATTATGTAGCAGCTCAACACAAATTTCAAAAGGCAAAAATAACTAAGGTTTTTTAAATTTAAATGTGGATGGATCACCCCATTGCCACCTTCTCTTCCCACGCTATTTGAAAATCAAAACTACATCCAATCGAAATTTCAAATCATTAGAAGATGTTAAAGTTCGGTTTCTAGGATTTTAGAGGTATTACCCGAATCTAAATAAAAAGGAAATGTATAATACTCAAAGAATGTACAGAATCAATCCAAAATCGCAAACCCTAGTTTGGCAATGAAGATAGATCGGAGAGCATGAGAGACAGCGAATCGGAAATGAAAGTGAGTGAGAAGATTCACCTCCGATAACTGTCTTCTTCGTGGATTTTGAGGGAGAGACCGTTTGAAGAGAGATGGCGATGAAGACCATTCGCAAGATCGAGTTGCTATGTGGAATCACTGACAATGTCCTCAACCTTAGGACCCAATCGTTGCCATCGTTAGGGCTTGCCGCACTTGTCTGATTGCAGATGGTGAATCGGCTCCAGCAAGTGGATCTGACGGAAAGGGTATACATGTGTACGCAGGAAGGTTCAGAGGAAGTGTGGTCCCAACAGAAAGGGTATAGATGTGTACACAAAATTGACGGTTCCTACCCCCGGTAAACCCCCCCACCCCATTCAATTGCACCCCACAAGTTAATTTTGACACAAGAGAATGACACAAGTGAATGAGCTAAAATTTGTCCTCAAGTGGAGGCCAAGCTGCCCTCTGTCCGCTGCCCTCCAGTCATCATCGGATCAGCTGTGGTTAGCTCAGACCAGGCACACCTTCTTCATTAGCTTCAGCGCTGGAGTAAAAACAAGTGACTTCCCAAGGAAAGACAAATTTCACAAGATTCAAAAGACAATGACACGCCACAAATTCGTCCAGAACACTAACCGTCAAGAAGCATCACGTCAAAGCAAACTGCCTCCAGGAGAGAAAGGCTAAAACCAGAGATGTGGGAGCCTAGATAACCACGATGACAAAGCCTTGCAATGCCTTTGATGCCGGGGAACCGGTGTAAGAAACTCAGATGAAGCCAGGCCTCAATCGGAAACATGAGGCGAAGCCCTCTGTTGGGCTGAAACTACGTCTCCAACCTTAAGCTTCAGAGGCTAACAGCAGAACACCAAAAAGAGTTGGTTATGGCATTTCATCAAACGCCCAGGGGGTGCCAAGCGTACCCTTCCAGGGGGAGCCGTCATAAGATGTCAAAATCAAGCATCACAGCAATGGCCTTCCCCAACCTAAATCATAGTTCAACGCTGTTCAACGAAGATTCTGCTGCAAGATAGGTCAAGAGCACTCTGATTTATTTTCAAAAAGTCATTTTCAGGAAATCATGTTTCAGAAGTCATTTTCCATCCTTCCCAAAATCCCGAAGAGGGAAAAGAAAATTAGCAAGAGCACTCAGATGAGTAAGGGTAAATCAGTATATCCAAATAAGTACACCAGAAGCAGCGTTAAGCCGGGCAATCAATAATACATCAGCCATATTCTTTCCTCATTGTTCAAAACTAGTCTCTCAATAACAGACAGCACTGCCTCAAAGCTATTCAGAAATCTATGAAAGGAAAAAGGAACAAAAACAATTTCTATCACACAATACAACTCTACAAAAAAAGAAGTTTAAAACAAAAAAGATAATGATCAAAAGCAAAGCTCTAAGGTATTGCCCTGATAATAATTTCAAAATTTAATAATTAGAGGTGTGAGGAGCTCCGAGGTATTTTTTTTCAAAATCCACGCGGCATGACATGGAGGTGTCACCTCATGGATCCGAGTGGCACTTCATTGATGAAATTCAAACATATGAGTTGTGCTTGATATCATGTAATAGTACAAACATAATAATATCATAAAAAACCAGATTTTCAAAGTTCAAAACGTGAAGAAAAAAATCAAAGCTCAAATAGATAAATAAAAAAACAGAATTTACAGCATACTAACTGTCAATGAATCAACTCAACCACAAGCTCAAGCTTGTGGTTGTGGCCCAGGAACAGATACTTATATTCTAACACGCCCCCTCACGTGCAGGCATAGTCTTTTTCGAGCGTTGCACGTGAAACCTTTTTTATAAACTGGGTGGCGCTGAGTTTCGAACTATGTGACCTCTTAGTCACATAGGGATATAGTCACTCACAAATGTTCAATGAGACCAGAAAATGAACTACAACTACTCAGCAAGTGAAGCCAATTATTTATATACTCTAGAATACAGAAGATTAAATGAGGACAACAAAATTCGATATTGTTATTTTTAATTGTAAAAAATATAAAGTGAGATGTGAACAAAACCCTTTTACAATCTGCTCAAATTATTAGAAAGGGACATTTCGATCAATAGGAAAACATACCGCTAAGATACAAAAGACAAGCACCAAGCAAAGAAAGTGCAACAAAGCATAGATAAGAAGGAGAAGGAGACTCTTACCTGGGACTGGGGAGAGAAAGAAGGGGTAGGGTTTTAGATTTACATTGAAGTCGCAGCACTTTGATATTTTTGAACTAGCATTTCAACATGTGATGAAGAGAATTTTTTTGAGTTGTACACCGTCCCTCTTCCGACCATACTGTAAAATCCTATTTCATCATGAATTCGTTAAAAGATTTTTATGCTACATCATGATTTGACAAAGCCCGAAATGCAGAAAGCAATTTTAGATCTGTGAGAAAAAAGTTCACGTTAAACCTATCTGTGGGAAAAAAAATATTATTGGTAAAATTTAACAGTGATAAAAAAGATTAAAAATCAAGAAAGAGAAATAATTTTTTGTGGGGTGAGATGAGACAAAACACAACCAACTTTGAAAATTTAGACAAAAAAAGTCCAGTATGTTTGTACAAGGATGTATCTATACAAATTTTTATATTTTGACATACTTTGACGATGATTATAATGTTTTTGGCAAACTAAGGCTACTACTGGTTATATTTTGGCCAATTTCAAAGTTCATTATGTCCTTGCCCACGTCCATAGTGTTCTGATTCAATTACCCTTGAAATATTAAGATTCAATAACAGTTTATAACACTTCACAGCTTATCCAAGCAGACACACAAAACTCAGATTCACTTTAGGATCCTAATTTATGTGCTTAACATCCTATATATGCACCTTTATTGTAAACTTTAATAAATGTGTTTTGTCTAATCCAAAACTTTATTTTGTGACAAAGAGTCTCCCATGGATAAAGAAGGAATCAGAAGAGAGATTGTAGTTTCGTCATATAGAGAGTGAGCCAAAGAAGCTCGGCACAACAGCAATCGCCGCCGCACCAGGAGAACATCAAGGCATGAATCCTCCCTATCTTAAGTATCTGCATAATTCATCATATTCCTCTCTACCCAGGTTGGGACTTAATCATGTTGGTTGGAAAACAGTCATCAAAGAACATGATAGATTTTTGCAACAAGATAAGGTCTTTAAACCATCCATAGAACTTTAAACAAATCAGGAAAAAAAATTGACCATTAAAAGGGAAGACAAGCTAATGAAGAGCACTCTGAATTTGTATTTCAAAAAGTCATTTTTCAAAACTACTTTTCAAGAAATCATTTTTCAGAAGTCGTTTTCCATCCTTCCAAACAGACCCTAAAAGGGAAAAGAAACTTAGCAGGAGCACTCAGATGAGTAAGGTAAATCTGCATATCCAAATAAGAAGATCACCAGCAGCGTTCAGCCGGGCAATCAATAATAGATCAGCAATACTCTTTCCTCATTGTTCAGAACTAGTCTCTTGATAACAGACAGCACTGCCTCAAAGCTATTAAGAAATTTATGAAAGGAAAAAAGAACAATAACAATTTATATCACAATACCACTCTATAGAAAAAAATGTGTAAAAACAAAAGAGTTAATAATCAAAAGAAATGCTCTAAGGTATTTTCCTGATAATAATTGCAAATTTTAATGGTTTTACAGGTGCGAGTTTTATGTGTGAGGCACTCCGAGACATTTTTTGTCAAAATCCATGCGGGATGACACGGAGGTGTGCACCTCACAGATCCGAGTCGCACTTCATTGATGAAATTGAAATATATGACTTGTGCTTGATATCAAGTAATAATACAAACATAATAATATCACAAAAAAACCAGACTTTCTGATGGGCGTGTCGTAGCACCTACAAATTGATTTATTATTTTCCTTAACTTTTAACCCCCATTATGAAATAATATTCATTAAAACATATAGATAGGGTAAGTAAGAGTCGATCCCACGAGGAAAGATACTTTTTAGGCTATGAAAATCAGTTCACTTGTCATTTTTATTGAATAAAAACTAACTAAAATCTAAAAACTAAAACTAAAAGATATGGGGGGTTTGAATGATAATTCTAAAAACGATAAAAGTGCAAATAAAATAAAGATAAAGGATAACAGATAAGAGATGGAACCACAGCAGCACTCAAAAGTCACTCAAGGAGAAAACAAACACACAAAAACAATCACACAATAAACTTTATTAAACGTAGACAATAATAATTAACTTAAACCATTTTTGAAAATACTTATA